GTCAACGTGCAGTACACATGCAAACCGCTAGTCAGCAGTGTCCACGGGCATGTTGCTGGTGTAACCCGCAGTACCACGGCAAAAGCCGAAGAAGAAGCGGCTCGTCGGAGAAGCATTATAGCCGTGACGGTGGCAAATAAATATAAAATTATTATTAATATTTTAAATTAATATTTAAAACTACAAAAAGGAGACAACAACGGAACGGGAGAAGATGTCATTCTTTCAATCTGCACAAGGACTTGTACCACGGCAGATCAACATTGTTTGTTGTGGACAACTACTGATGTATAATGCTACGCAGTATAATAAATGATAAGACACTTGTTCTTTGCTTTTTTATTTTATATAAGAAGGTGTCACATTAAAATATATTAAAGTGCACATAAACACACACAAAACTCAAGTGCATACGGAGGGAGGGGTTCTTGCAGACCAATCACAGTGCTTGCGGTCCGCGTAGAATTGACGCGCTGTTAGATTTTTGGAGAGGTGCACGTCAGGCTACGGCGTATGGGTGTGCGTCTATGCGTAAGCTACGGCGTAGGTCCGACGCAGAAGTATAAATCAGCCTTAATGATCACGGATTTTGATTTTGAACTCGTTTTTTTTTTTTTTTTTTTCAATTTGAGGTATTTCAGCATCACGTTAAACTAAATGAAAAGGAGAAACACTAGGCTAGTCGAACTAAATTAAAATTTTTAAGTTACAATTTTTTTTTTTTATGGTTTTAGGGAAGTATAACTACCCTGGTGTATACATAACTTACCAACAGTGCTGGGTAGTTTATTTGCAAACAGTAGTCCATTACTAATTCTAAATTACACGACAACAATTGTAGTTAGTAAGGTTATCCACTGCATTAAACATTTTAGGCTAAATAATTAGACTACGTTTTCATTACTTTAAGATTACACTTGACCTAACTCATTTATCACATTGATTTAAATATTCTTGTACCATATTGATATAAACATAACATTAAGGGTGTATTCACACCAGGAAAGTCCGCTAGCTCACTTGCTTTGGTCCGGACCAAATCAAATAGTTTTTTTTTTGGTGTGGTTTGCTTTCACACTGCCCTTTTTTTTGCAAGTGAACCAGAAATTGTAAACAAAACCACACGTGTGCTAAGGTCATCCATTCATTGGACAGAAATTCTCAAGCGTACCAGAGTTTGTTTGGAACCGGACCGAGACCACCTCTTCAGCTGGGTCTCGGTGCGGTTGTTCGGTCCGCACCAGAGTGCGATTGCTGTATTCACACCTGCCCAAACACCAAGGGGGGAAACGAACTTGAGTTCGATTCAATTGAACCAAACAAGACAGGTGTGAACACACCCTAAGGTTTCCCAAACTGTGTATATATTTACAAACAAGTAAATATATTAGGTGAAAGAGGTTCAGCTCACAAATAAATACTTAAAAAAAAAAAGGGTTGGGAAACCCTGCATAACACGAAGGTAAGAAATAACTTGAATTTGAGCATTTTCAAAAGACATGGTAATAGTATGCATCCTAAACTCACACAAATAATGTGTTCACGCTTGTTTGTATAATTTTACAGCTTGATTGGAATTAAAAGCACAAAACAATATAATAATATCATATTCTGTTCATAATTAATATTTACTTTGATCTCATATTACAGCTCAAACATGCATGTCTCTTTGATAAATACATACTTTAAAAACTACAAAAACTTTATTAGGACAAAATGAACGGCTGTGATGTAAATGACTGGTAGAATAAGAGTCAGTCATTCACACAAATGCTGAAATCCCTTCACTCTGTATGTGCATATGTAGTAATAATAATAATAATAACAACAGTCTAGTTCTGCTACAATAAAATCAATAGCAGCAAAAATAAATGATGAATGCATAGTATTTTATATATATATATATAAGTTTTAAAGTGATCTTCTTCACATAAAGGGACACAAAATTAAATCTGTTAGCTATACTATACTAGCAATACTAAAAATGAACCATATGTAAAGAAGCAATTTCAGACAACGTTCTCACCTGTATTCTGATATTGGCTCCTGTCTCCTTTCTCGAGAGCGCATCAGATACTCTCACGTTCTTGGACAGCATGCGACTGCAGTGTCGGTGTAAGAACAATGTCGTGCTGAAGGCAGGCATCCGCTGTAATGTAAACAGCATCATAGCAGCTGAGTGTGATGTTATTTTGTTGATAATGTATGATAATAAAACACTAACAGCTCGTTCGGCTGGTCTCTGTTTTGACATTCACGGCGCTCTCCACGCGCTTCCTGAAATCGAATAACGTCGCGTGCGTAACGTCCCGTTGGTTGCACTTTGACATGCGCAGTAGATCCCTGATAACGGCCGAGTCATTTCAATGAATCATTTCAAAGAATCGGTTCAAAAACGGTTCAGTCCAGTTCTTTAAATTCTTCCTGGCTTGCCATGTTACATGAATTACATATTAGGCTACATCACAGTAAAACCATGTGTAGGGATATATATTATGGCTGTTTATTACTTTTTTAATTATAATGCGTTTATTATGTCCAGGTACAGTTTGTTTAGCAGCGGAGTTAGCTCATAAAAACAAACCCATTTTGAATATTAATATGAAATATTAATATTAAATTCACTTCAAGCCCATTCATTATCAGCCCACTCATTGGTTCTATGCTCATTGCGAATTGGACATGTGTCCGTAACGTTTCTCGGTTCAGTGAATCCGTGAGTGTTTCCGAAACCATACGGTGGCAGAGAAGTGCAGAACAAATCACAATTCTGAAAACAAAATAACAAATGACAAACGCAAATGCGAGTCTAAAAAAACAAAATAACAATTCAGAAAGCACAACAACAATTCAGAAAACATTATAACAAGTCAGAAAACACAATGACAAATCCGAAAACAAATTAACAAGTCAAAAAACACAACGACAAATCAGACAAAGCGGAAGAGGTAGGTATAGTTTGAGACAGCGCCATTGGTTTGGGATTACTCACCGCTGACTGGACGAGACATCTCTCAATCAACGTATACAGAGAAGAACCAGCCGAAGAACAGCAGAGTCGTGGTAGAAAGTTCGGAGATGGTATTAAAGTAGCTCCGTTTAAATGTATTGTATGAATTGGCCTTACTGTGGAATAAAAAATACGGGGTGTCTATTTACAATTAGATAAAAGTGGCCGTGAAACATGGATAAGCGCGTGTCGTTGGCTTTTTGACGCGATCGACCCGGGTTCGATCCCGTCTTTTGCCAAACTTGTTTTTTCTCCCTTTTCAAATCTCGTATCACATCGCAAAGGCGTTTATTTTCAATAAAAATTAAGGAAATCATCAAAAAAGTTGAAAATAAAGTATGGGGCAGGGTTAGGGTAGGTGTAGGGAGGGCTTTATTGTACCAATAAGGTGGCATCCGTTTAATAATTAAAATGATAATTTACACTCAATACGTTATTATTGCATACTGTTTTATAATGTACTACAATACTGAAGTGCAGATAATTGCCACTATTTGCAACAAGTGGTATACTTGATAGTAGAAATCCTGCTATTTTAACATAGTGTAACTAGGTATTTGCACTTAGTGTAAATAGCATATTGCTAAAAATACTGCTAATTTCACTTAGTGTAAATAGAATCCATTGCTAATACGAGATTTGAAAAGGGAGGGGAAAATAGTTCTGCAAAGGACAGGATGAACCCGGGTCGATCGCGTCAAAAAGCCAATGACACGTGCTTATCCATGCACCACTGGAGCTGATGATTTATAGCCACTTTTATCTAAATGTAAATAGACACCCCGTATTTTTAATTCCAGAGTAAGGGCAATTCATACAATACATTTAAACCGAGCTATTTCCGTACATTTTGACCAGTTTATGGGAAAAGTATTCTTAAAATGCATTCAAAATTCTGAATAATTTGTTATATATAATTATTCACGGTATTTAGAAGTGCCCACGATAACAATATCGTGAATATTTATTACCGTGATATATCGCATTACCGAATACCGGATCAAGTCTACCTTGATTACTAGTCTTGAAAAAGTGTGAAATTAATAAACCCCTCAGAGAGCCACTGTCACAAAAATGTAACATGTTTAAACATAATAATAGCCTATTAGGCTATAGTTTATCTAAATATAGGCTAGGTTTTAACAGAAGTTCACACTTCACAGAAAATATTTACAGTTTTACAGTCTTCTCAACATGCCAAAGTCACACAATATCACTGCTTTACAATTTCTGACTGTTTTGCAGAAACTATATAGTGTGTGAGAGAGGAGCTGAAGTTTCAACCTTCTGTTTTACTGACTTTCATAAAGGTCAGTGAAACTGTGCTGTAGGCTTCTAAATATGCATTTTCTTTAAAGCGGGTCAGCGAGGTGCAGGGATGTTCCAGGATAACGAAACTTTAGAACAGAAGGGCTGCTCCGAGATTAACATATTCAGATGTCAACTAACTTGCTGGGAAACGCTTTTCAAGAATTCATATATCTACTTTTGGGTGTAATTGTAAAAGTGCACGCTTGAAAAACCATCATATCAGTTTTGAAATGCTTTTTAAAAAATGTATCTCAAAACAAAATAAACATCATGATTTTCATAAACACTGGCTTCCTAAGATGAGAAATGCATTATTTCGGGAGTCTCTGAAGGTTAAAATGTTTCTACACTTAAAATATTTAGGCCTAAATGTAAGATTTCTGTAGCCTATTAGACTAGCATATACACTTTTCAGTTGGATTACACAGTTTTTACATAAACAATATTTTTCCATCAAAATGAAATGGGTAAGAAATATGTCAGATGTCTGTTAAAGTACTTATAGTGAATGTGTTTTAAATGAACAATAACCGTTTTATATTTATCATCTATAAATCTAATATGTTTTAATCTCATAACTTTTAAGTAACTGAATATTGCTTGCACACAGCTAGCCATAGTTTAACAATGTCCATACTTTTTGACTGAATACATTTAATTGTGAACAGATTTATACTGATTTGAATAAATGTATTATTAAAATATTGTTATTTAAATGAAATCAAACAGATGGAAATAATTAACAATAAACGATGTCATGATTTTTTTTGAGTGCAGAACTCAAACTTACATTTTTCTTATCTGTTTCATTCATGATTCATTTATGTATGACTGACAAATATGCATCACATTTATTATTATTATTAGTAGTAGTAGTATTAGATTTTATAATCCATGTAACCCATAAATAGGAAATTTAGGCCTAAATATTTTTAGAATGCATATGCATATACTTTTTTTCATGGAAATGCATTGGTCAAAACAAGAAGAGGCAAACATTCATGAATCCATTTCATGTAAAATATGAAGCAATACATCATATATACAACTCACATATGCATTCTAGGGTTAAGCTATGGTGTTTCACTGATTATATTCATTAAACATGATTGAAGATTCATAACCATAGAATTACAGTGCTCATCTTTTCCACGAGATGGCACTAAAACTCCATCAGCCTGCTATGCAGCATATCGCACGAGCAGCCATTCACCAGACAAATCTATTTAATTACTTATTTATTAGCTCAGCATCTTCAGCAGTGAATTATTAAAGCAGCTTTAGCGTCTCCGTGGACTGCATCTCACCAAAGGCAATGCTAATGTTATTTTTACGGCATGTTATGTAATTATATTTATCTGTGCCTTTGTTTGCTTTTTTGTGAAATTCAATTTGACAGCAGATTTGATGAAGCTGTGATGCCAAATTCCTTAGCTGATGTTTTAACCTACAGACAGGATTTCATTTCAGTGAACACCCACATAATATTATCTGTTTATACTGAATATATTCTAATGGTAAAGAGAAACATTCTGGGCCGGTTCAGGGCATCCTTATTTCTTCTCGGCCTCAATCAATATGCGATTACCAAACAAAAACAGGGATCTTGTTTTAAAAGCTCCGAGCTCAGCAGAGCCAAGCTCAGAGGGCAGCGGTGTCCTCACCTCTCTCCTGACGGACTCTTCGAGCTGTATTGCCCCTTAATTCTCGGCTTATCATCAATTCCTCCGCAGCTCATGTTATGCATGTGCACTGTAAGCAGCATTGATTTCATGTCACAATGCTCGTTTAGTTCTGATGAAGCCAAAATAGCGAAGTGATCTGAGGGCAAGACTTTGGATGCCCCTCATCCAAACAGTACCAGTTGAGAGAAGTCTTTGTGACCTCTGTTTGAACTGTTTGATAGATGTTCCATTGTCCACTGGATTAACATTGTCTGAGTATTGTTTTAAAGCCCATAAGATGAAAAAGGAATGAGTTTTGAATGTACTAATAACATAAAGGACTACATGATTAAAGTTTAAAGGCCCCATGAAAACAAAATTTGAGTTTTGGCTTAGCTTTGAGAACATGAAATATGGGCAAACCATTTTTTTTGGATGCAAACCTGATCTCTCAAGTGACATCTCAAATTGATCCTCACCTCTCTCCTGACGGACTCTTCGAGCTGTATTGCCCCTTAATTCTCGGCTTATCATCAATTCCTCCGCAGCTCATGTTATGCATGTGCACTGTAAGCAGCATTGATTTCATGTCACAATGCTCGTTTAGTTCTGATGAAGCCAAAATAGCGAAGTGATCTGAGGGCAAGACTTTGGATGCCCCTCATCCAAACAGTACCAGTTGAGAGAAGTCTTTGTGACCTCTGTTTGAACTGTTTGATAGATGTTCCATTGTCCACTGGATTAACATTGTCTGAGTATTGTTTTAAAGCCCATAAGATGAAAAAGGAATGAGTTTTGAATGTACTAATAACATAAAGGACTACATGATTAAAGTTTAAAGGCCCCATGAAAACAAAATTTGAGTTTTGGCTTAGCTTTGAGAACATGAATATGGGCAAACCATTATTATTTTTTTGGATGCAAACCTGATCTCTCAAGTTGGAGAAGGTGTCGTCCACACACAAAACATACAATAGATTTCTTATTTGTAAAAGGAACTGTTTAAAATGAATTACAACCATAATACAGACACAAACATATTTTTCATTTAACTGCAATTTCTGCTTTAAAGCAAATTCAATACCCTTCCGGTCAGAATTCAGCATACTAGTGCTCTCACTAATTCTAAAGGCCTGTTTATACCAAAGACGATAACTGTGATGATAGCAAAAAAGATAGCAGAAAAAAACATAGCAGAGGAATGATATCATCGGAATCATTTTCAAAATTATTATTATTTTTTCCAGACTGCTTTAACACTTCAGAATAGGGAACACATATGGACTATTAATTAAGAGTTTTCCCTCCATAAA